AAAAAAAAAAAAAAAAGATTCAAGAAAAATGTCGATGCAACAATCAATTTTGTTTAAAAGTTATTCTAAAGGCATAATCTTTGAATACTATAAAGTCAAAAGTATGAGTACTTTTGGAGTCAAATTATACCTTCTCAAACGGCTTAGGAACTTTTAAACCCATAAGATCTAAGCTGAAACTTGATATTTAGACCCAAATCAAGTTAGGTAATTTAATATATTATAATTATTATTATTCTAGTCGGAAAGTTACAAATTGTTACAAATTATGAAAAAATTGAGCCAGCAATTAAAGATCCTCGTAGTTTACCAATTTATTTGAATTTTGTAGCCAATAAGGTTCTAACTCAAACAAGATTTGATGTTTTTAAAAAAGTGAGAAAACCATTAAACCCACTGTTTTGCACGTGATGCCAATGCATTCTGAGGGATAAACCCATTGCATTGCCCTCTCTGGACTGCCCAAACTCTCTCTCCGCGCTGTTTCTGTCCTCTTCTTCGTCTTCAAATGCCTTCCTGATCTCCACCTTCAGTCTCAGAATTCAGGTCCCTCAGACCTCTCCGATTCCAACTCCAGCGCCGGCCGCCCATTTCCGTTCGTTTGGAGTTTTCTTAGCATTTGGTCTCCTTCATCTTCCATTTCTGTGTCTCTCATTTTCGTTTCGATTCTCTGTTTGTGTGTTGGTTAATCTCAATCCCCGTTCTGGAATCTTTTGCAGGCTAAGGCTGTGTGCGATGGAACCGGATAACAAATTCTTCAATGTCGGTCTGCTCGTAGTGGCCACTTTAGTCCTTGCGAAGGTCATTTCTTCCGTTCTGAAATCCAGATCTAAGAAACGGGCTCCTCCCACTGTGAGAGGGTTGCCCTTGGTCGGGGGAATGGTCCGTTTTCTTAAGGGTCCGATTGTGATGCTGAGGGAGGAGTACCCTAAGCTTGGGAGTGTCTTCACCTTGAACCTATTGCACAAGAAAATCACCTTCTTGATTGGGCCTGAGGTTTCTGCACATTTCTTCAAGGCGTCTGAGTCTGATCTTAGCCAGCAGGAAGTTTACCAGTTTAATGTGCCTACTTTTGGGCCTGGCGTTGTGTTCGATGTGGATTACTCCATTCGCCAAGAACAGTTCAGGTTCTTCACTGAGGCTCTCAGAGTCACTAAATTGAAGGGCTATGTGGATCAGATGGTCAAAGAAGCAGAGGTCAGTAATTCAGCTATAAAAATCTAGTTTTCAACTTTAACAACCATCATTAAATGTTGTTCTTCATAATCTATGGCTGAACTTCATTTCTAGTTCCTGATGCTTGAGTCCAAATCTTCAATTTCCATTGTTTTTCTGCAAAACCTGTTTGTAACAATGGAATGTGGCGGGGTATTGAGCAGGATTACTTCTCTAAGTGGGGAGACAGTGGGGAAGTGGACCTCAAGTATGAGTTGGAGCATCTTATCATCTTAACAGCTAGTAGATGTCTATTGGGTAGAGAGGTTCGTGATAAGCTTTTTGCGGACGTTTCTGCTTTGTTTCATGACCTTGACAATGGAATGCTCCCAATCAGTGTAATGTTCCCCTACCTGCCTATCCCAGCTCATCGTCGTCGTGATCGGGCCCGCAGCAAGCTTGCGGATATCTTTGCTAAGATCATAGCTTCCAGAAAATGCAATGGAAGTTCAGAGAATGACATGTTGCAATGTTTTATTGACTCAAAGTACAAAGATGGTCGACCAACGACAGATACTGAGGTCACTGGTTTGCTCATAGCTGCTCTTTTTGCAGGTCAACACACTAGTTCGATTACCTCTACTTGGACTGGGGCTTATCTTCTACGCCACAAAGAGTACATGTCTGCTGTTATAGAGGAGCAGCAAAAGCTGATGGAAAAACATGGAGATAAGACTGATCATGATGTCTTGTCTGAAATGGACAATCTCCATAGGTGTATTAAAGAAGCTCTCAGACTCCACCCTCCATTGATTATGTTGATGCGCAGTTCACATACTGATTTTAGTGTGACCACTAAAGAGGGTAAAGCATATGATATACCAAAGGGTCATATAATTGCTACATCTCCAGCTTTCGCTAATCGACTTCCTCATGTCTATAAGGATCCAGACAGGTACGATCCAGACAGGTTTTCCCCTGAACGAGATGAGGACAAGGCAGCTGGGCCATTCTCCTACATCTCGTTTGGAGGCGGTAGGCACGGGTGTCTCGGCGAGCCCTTCGCTTATCTACAGATAAAGGCAATTTGGAGTAGGTTGTTAAGAAATTTTGAACTGGAGCTAATATCTCCTTTTCCTGAAATTGATTGGAACGCCATGGTTGTGGGTGTCAAAGGGAAAGTTATGGTCAGATACAAGAGGAGGAAGCTTTCAGTTAGATAATTGGAAGAAGGTTTAACAGTTTCTAATTATTTCTGGGAGAGTTTGCTTTCCACCTGCCTGCACCAACTTCATTTACACAATACTTCAATCATTTGTGCTTCCAGGAGGTTTTTGTCATCGAGTTTGACCTCAGGTCACGTTCAGTGTTTTAATCTAATTTATGTTAGTTTGTAGTATCTTAAGTTTTGTTATTGTTGGATCCGTTTGACATGGGTGTTTCTGCACGTTCTAAATTTATTCGACCTACGTTTCTCCATGCTCTAAGCTAAAAAAACAGTGGTTTTGCATATTGTTCAGCTGAGATGATATAGTTCAATAAATTTTTAGGACTGCAGCAGCTCTCTGTCAATGAAGATCAATAATTAATTGCCATTCAGAACCAGTTTAATGGAGAGACAATCATACTGCATTGCATCGCAAATTTATCTGTTTCTTTATCTTTCTTTCTTTCTTCTTCCATATCAGAAAATGAAGAACCAATTGAAAATTGTGATAATTCAGATCAAGTAGACGTGTGAATCCTCTATATATTCTTAAAGGGCAATAAATTATAATACCATCAAGCAGAGATCTTGCAGCTTTCCCGGTGGCAATCTTTCTGCCTCTGAAGCCCTGTGAAAAAAATAAGGAACCCAGTAAATGAGAAGGCTATAAGAGCCTGTGTCAATCAAATTGTGATACTACAAGTAAATACACAAAAGAACCGAAAGGAAACCTCCATGATTGCTCAGCAGAATGATCAACCAACGTTAATCTGATGAGTTTGGTATGATTTTTAGAAGCTCAATATCAAACAAAAGAGTCTTGTCTATCAACCCTTGGTTCCTCAGCACAAAGTCCAATGCTCGTTGGCCCTGAACGTGTTGATATCAAAAATGCAAAAACCTCGGGATATCACGTATGCAAATGTATATTGACTAAGGAAAGATGTAATGTTACCGAGAACGTCGTTGGTCTTGGACCCTTTTTATTGAAGTCATTCTGAGGATATCCCAGCTCTGGTGGCACTATAATCCTGCTCTAAATAGATTATAAATGTCGCACATATGTTCAAAAAAGAATATGCACATGCATTTTGATTTTAATGCACATTTCATTTCTTTTAAATTTTGCATCAACTTGCTTTGGATCAAATTGCATAGACCTTGTTCAAACATGTCAGAGGCCACACAATCTTACCTCAGTAAAGCAAAATTACATC